CATTTCCTTACACCACACACAAAAATAGACTCCAAATGGCTGAAAGACCTCAATGTGAGACAGGAGTCCATCAAAATCCTAAAGGAGAACACAGGCAGCAACCTCTTTGACCTCAGCCAAAGCAACTTCTTCCTAGAAACATTGCCAAAGGCAAGGGAAGCAAGGGCAAAAATGAACTATTGGGACTTCATCAAGATAAAAAGCTTTTGCAAAGCAAAGGAAACAGTCAACAAAACCAAAAGACAACTGACAGAATGGGAGAAGATATTTGCAAATGACATATCAGATAAAGGGCTAGTATCCAAAATCTATAAAGAACTCATCAAACTCAACACCCAAAGAACAAAGAATCCAATCAAGAAATGGGCAGAAGACATGAACAGACATTTTTCCAAGGAAGACATCCAAATGACCAACAGACACATGAAAAAGTGCTCAATATCGCTCGGCATCAGGGAAATCCAAATCAAAACCTCAATGATATACCGCCTCACACCAGTCAGAATGGCTAAAATTAACAAGTCAGGAAACGACAGATGTTGGCGGGGATGCGGAGAAAGGGGAAGCCCCCTACACTGTTGGTGGGAATGCAAGCTGGTGCAGCCACTCTGGAAAACAGTATGCAGGTTCCTCAAAAAGTTGAAAATAGAGCTACCATATGATCCAGCAATTGCACTACTGGGTATTTACCCCAAAGATACAAAAGTAGGGATCCAAAAGGGTACGTGCACCCCGATGTTTATAGCAGCAATGTCCACAATAGCCAAACTGTGGAAAGAGCCAAGATGTCCATCGACAGATGAATGGATAAAGAAGATGTGGTATATATATACAATGGAATATTATGCAGCCATCAAAAGGAATGAGATCTTGCCATTTGCAATGATATGGATGGAACTGGAGGGTATTATGTTGAGTGAAATAAGTCAATCAGAGAAAGACATGTATCATATGATCTCACTGATATGAGGAATTCTTAATTGCAGGAAACAAACTGCGGGTTGCTGGAGTGGGGGGTGGGGTGGGAGGGATGGGGTGACTGGGTGATAGGACACTGGGGAGGGTATGTGCTCTGGTGAGCGCTGTGAATTGTGCAAGACTGTTGAATCTCAGATCTGTACCTCTGAAACAAATAATGCAATATATGTTAAGAAAAAAAAAAGAAGAAGAAGAAGGTAGCGGGAGGGGAAGAATGAAGCAGGGGAAATCGGAGGGGTAGACGAACCATGAGAGACGATGGACTCTGAAAAACAAACTGAGGGTTCTAGAGGGGAGGGGGGTGGGAGGATGGGTTAGCCTGGTGGTGGGTATTGAGGAGGGCACATTCTGCATGGAGCACTGGGCGTTATGCTCAAACAATGAATCATGGAACACTTCATCTAAAACTAATGATGTAATGTATGGGGATTAACATAAGAATAAAAAAAAAATCATACTCAATGATAAAAGATGGAAAGCTTTTCCTCTAAACTCCAGAATGAGCCAAGATGCCTCATCTCCTTTGCAGGGATGAGTAAGTAACCTATACCTAATTAGGTTATTCCCTAGCTAGAAAAACGAGGTGAAAGCATGTTGACCCATGCTTTTACTAGAGTTACTGAACATTTCACCGGAAGTCCAAACCAGAGTATTTGGCAAGAAGAGATGAAAAGGCATCCAAATTGAAAAGAAACAAGTAAAACTACATCCATTCACAGAGAACATAATCTTATAGAAATCTCAAGGAATCCACCAAAAAACTACTACAGCTAATAAACGAATTCAGCCAAGTTGCCACATACAAGAAAAAAAATTCAAAAATCAGTGTATTTATACACCAGGAATGAACACTCCAAAAAGAAAATTAATGGAACAATTCTAATTACAATAACATTCCAAAGAATAAATACCTAGGAACAGATTTAACCCAGGAGGTGAAAGGCATATATTGAAAATTACAAAACAATGCTGAAGGAAATTAAAGAAGATCTAAATAGATGTAAAGACATCCTGTGTTCATGGATTAAAAGACATTTTTAAGATGGCAATACTCCCCAAATTTATTCCCTATCAAAATTCCAACAGCCCTTTTTGCAGAAACAGAAAAACTGATTTTCTAAAAGAAAAAAGAAAGATATTAAAAAATAAATAAAATATCAACTAGAACTCATTTTTTTAGAAGGTGATTTGTCAGCTCTCCCTGGGCTCAGACGTAGTTTGCAGCCACATGGCTAAACGCACCAAGAAGGTCGGAATCTTGGGTAAATACGGGACCCGTTACGATGCCTCCCTCAGGAAAATGGTGAAGAAGACTGAAATAAACCACCATGCCAAGTACACTTGCTCCTTCTGTGGCAAAACCAAGATGAAACCACGAGCTGTGAGGCTCCAGCATCGTGGCTCCTGCATGAAAACCATTACCTGGTGGTGCCTGAACCTGCAGTACCACTTCTGCCATCACAGCAAACTGAAGGAGTTGAAAGACCAGTAGAAGCTCCACCATTTGAAATACTGCTAGCCTATAATAAATGGGTTAATTTATGTAACAAAATTACTTTGGCCTGTTGCTAAATGTATTAGTTAGATCTTCCCATTTGTGTTGCATTAATTCTCAAAAGACTTGGAAATCAAAAATCCTTCTAATTTTTATTGAAAAAAATAAATGAATAAAAGGTGATTTACAATTATTTTTTTAAGATTTTATTTATTTATTTGACAGAGAGACAGCAAAAGAGGGAACACAAGCAGGGGGAGTGGGAGAGGGAGAAGCAGGCTTCCCGCCGAGCAGGGAGCCCGATGCGGGGCTCGATCCCAGGACCCTGGGATCATGACCTGAGCTGAAGGCAGCCGCTTAACCGACTGAGCCACCCAGGCGCCCCAAAATGTGATTTTCAATTTATATAGAGTTGTAAGGGGACGCAAAAAATCAAAATATTGAAAAAAAACCAACTTCTCAAAAAGGTTCATAAATCGAAACAGCTAGAAGATAATGCATTAGAAGACAATATGGTAACACCACAACAGACTATCAGAATTACAGCTTTTGGGGGTGCCTGGGTGGCTCAGTCGTTAAGCGTCTGCCTTCGGTTCAGGTCATGATCCCAGGGTCCTGGGATCAAATCCCACATTGGGCTCCTTGCTCAGTGGGGGTCTGCTTCTCCCTCTGCCCCTCCCCCTGCTCATGTTCTCTCTCTCTCTCTCAAAATAAATAAAATCTTTAAAAAATAAATAAAATGAAATTACAGCCTTTGGTGTTGTTAGACTTAGACCATACCATATTTTGTAGTGAAGTGGACAATCCTGAAAGGTAAGTGGGCTAAACAATATTTTCGTAGTATCTTCAGAGTTAACAAACACAATAAACAAGTCAAATAAATTTTTATTTTTAAAGTTATACATTTTCACTTCTGAAATTCAGCAATAAGAAATCATGTGACTTGCTTCCCTTTATCATAAATTTACTGCCTTTTTCATATATCCATCCATTCTAAATCAAACAAGTTTACACTTGGGTTTCTTAATACTTGAGTCACTTTTATTCAAAGCAATAAATCAATGACCCAATTGCCTTTTACAGTACTTGAGTATATATCATTATGAATGCACAGGGACTAACCATATTCATAGAGCCTGGACACGTTCTAGAACCAACCCTACAATTCTAAGCTAGTCTAAGTGACTCAAAGGAAACCTAGAAATACACGTGGGTTTGTGGTCTCCCCAGGAATTCTATTCCTCATGTCGGAACGGGAAAAAGAATAGTCAAAACCCAGTAAGAGACCCAGAATGATGTAGTACCTCAACACACAAGATCACAGTTTTTTAAATAAGTCTGGACATCTCTGGACATCTCTTAGCACACATGTATCCAGGGATGGCATAAACTAAGAAAAATGGCTTTGTATTGCTTATTACACCATTTACTAGGATGAAAATTGCAGAAGATTGTCTGCATCTCTTAGCTGAGTGGTAACATCAGAAATAGTCTCACTGGTCAAAAATATCAACAAGATAATCAAACTTAGATATCAACAACATCCAGGAACGCTTTTCAATGTGAGATTTATAATGTATACAGATGATTTAAACAGAAACAGAGAGAGGAGATCTTATTTTGAAGGGTGATCACTCAATTCTATATTTTTATTTAAAAAACCATTCTATATTCACTATCATAATACCTAGTACATACTACTAATAGAAGCTTGTTGAAAGCTCAACTGGATGGATGGCTGAATGATCAAATAAACAAATGGAAGGAAAAAGAACGAATATCAAAGTAAAGTTTAAAAATATTTGATACTCTCTGAAGTTTCTTCTCCATTTTAAAAAGCTACTCTAATCAGGGAAGAAATGTATCAGAAGTAACATGGCACAGTGGAAACAAGACAAGACTTGAACTCAGAAAGAACCAGATTTAAATCTTAGCCAAAACTCTTAGTGGCTTGTGTTGTGGAGCAAATTGCTTACTTTATCCAAGTCTTAGTTTTCTCCACCTATAAAATGGGGATTACAGTATCTACCTTACAAACACAATAAACCAGCAATTTTGGCACCTAGAACAAACTAAACAAAACCAGTTCTCCAATCAACTCTGTAATTCATAATGTAGCCCACAGATGGGTGTTACTAATAACAATGCTCGCCATCTGGTAGCTTCCTGTTTTAAATAATTATTCTTGCTAACTAGGTGCCAAGCTTCTGGAATCATTACATTAAATGTTTGCACTCTCTAAATTTTGGTGTCCTTAGACAAAGCCCAGTAGGACCAGCCATAGCTCCGATTATAGGTTTGTTCTGAGGGTTAAAAATAATGTTAAGAAAAACCCCTTGTACAGTGACAGGCATATAACAGACAATAAATTATTGTTATTTAAATATTTTATTAACACCTTTATGTCATCCATTTGCCACTCTACATCCTCACAATTATTCTAATAAACCCACACTGAGAATATAGATTAATCATATCAGGCCACTGCAGAAATATATCAACAAGACAAGAGTGAAAGGATATGTACTGGAAATATTATCTTCAAAGATTCGAGTTGATTCCTTCAATCTTGATTTTTGGATTTTCTGTCTTAAACACATAAAGACCTGATGACTTAGAAGAGTAGAAGGTACCTCAATTTCAAGAGCCATTCCTAGATTGAGGAAATAAGTGAAGTGTCAGGTTCAAAAGAAGAATTCAAAGTTACCACTATCAGGGTATGCTTCTTCTCTGCTGGATGGGCAAACAGAACTGCTGCTATTGTGTTCTGCCTCTAGTCTCAGCTGTGCAAACACCAGTTAAGTAAGAAAAACATTAAGCCATCTTTATCAGATCTACAAACAACCCAGATAAACTCCTTTAGGATGAATAGTTTAGTTAGAATGAATAGCTAGTACTCAGAATAACAAAATTTGCCAAATCATAAGAACCCTATATAAAGCACTCCTACTTAGCTCTGAAAAATCATTTTTGCTGGATTATCAGATATCTAAAAATAATGATTTTATTATAAAGCATTATCAAACCAAACCAAGGGCATAGACAACAATTCTGTTTTCTTCTTTTTCCCCACAGGCAACCATTCTTACAGCAAGAGTTAAATTAAAATGATGCAGAGGTATTGCTGGTTATAGTGATGTTTCAATAACAGCTTTCCCACACTAAAACAAACTTTCCCTAAGAAAACATCTCTTCTACTCATAAATGTCAAGTCAGCTCACAAGCTAGAGCCCCCAGTTTCCCCACAAATTAAAGAATAAATCCATCATACTCAACATTATACTCAATGGTGATTAACTGAAAGCTTTTCCTCTAAGATGAGAAACAAGACGATGATGCCCATTCTCACCACTTGATTCAACATAGTACTAGAAGTCCTTGTCAGAGCAATCAGACAAGAAAACGAAATAAAAGGCATCCAAATAAGAAAGGAAGAAGTAAAACTGTCTCAATTTGCAGATAGCATGATATTATATAGAGAAAACCCTAAAGACTCCACCAAAAGACTGTTGGAATAACAGATGAAATCTGTTACAAATCATTAATAAAAGAAACTGAAGACAAAAATAAATGGAAAGATATTCCATGCTCATGGATTGGAAGAATTAATATTATTAAAATGTCCATACTACCCAATGTAATCTATAGATTCAATGCAATCCCTATCAAAATTCCAATGACATTTTTCACATAAGTAGGAAAAAAATCCTAAAATTTGTATGGAACCATAAAAGACCCCAAATAGACAAAGCAACCCTCTGAATAAAGAACAAACCTGGAGGCATCACATTTCCTGATTTCAAACTCTATTACAAAGCTACAAAACAGTATGGTATTGGACACACAGATCAAAGGGATAAAATAGAGAGCACAGAAATAAAACCACACATATACAGTCAATTAACTTATAACAAAGGAACCAAAAATATACACTAGGGAAAGAACAGTCTCTTCAATAAATGGTATTGACAAAAATAAACAGATACATGCAAAAAAAAGTAACACTAAACCCCTATCTCACACCATACACAAAAATTAACTCAACATAGATTAAAGACCTGAACATAAGACCTGAAACCATAAAATCCTAGGAAAACAAACAGGGTGGTAAGCTTTCTTAGCATGAAAGCAAAGGCAGCAAAAGCAAAAATAAACAAGTGGAACTACATCAAACTATAAAGCTTCTGCACAGCAAAGGAAACTATCAACAAAATGAAAAGGCAATCTACCAAATGGGAAAAAATATTTGCAAATCATATATCTGATAAGAGGCTAATATCCAAAATATCCAAAATATATAAAGAACACATAATCTAATATCAAAAAACCCCTAAACAATTTGATTAAAAAATGAGCAAAGGAATTGAAAAATTATTTTCTCAAGACATAAAAATGCCAAACAGGTACATGAAAAGTTACTTAACATCACTCATCATTGGGGAACTCCAAATCAAAACCACAATTAGATTTACCTCACACCTGTCAGAATGTCTATCACCAAAAGATAACAGATAACAAGTGTTGGCCAGGATGTGGAGAAAAGAGAACTCTTATACACTGCTGGTGGGAATGCAAATTGGTGCAGCCGCTATAAAAGACAGTATGAAGGCTCCTCAAAAAATTAAAAATAGAACTACCCTATGATCCAGCAATTCCATTTCTAGGTATACATCTGCAGGAAACAAACATTATCTCAAAGAGGTATCTGCACCCTCATGTTCATTGCAGCATTATTTACAATAGTCAAGACATGAAAACAACCTAAGTACCCACTGATGATTGAATGGATAAAGAAAATGTGATAATAGTGTGTGTACATACACACACACACACACACACGAATATTATTAGGGATAAAATAGAAGGAAATCCTTCCATCAGTGACATGAATGGACCTTGAGGTCATTACGCTAAGTAAAATACATCAGACAGAGAAACAAATACTAAATGATCTCACTTATGTGTAGAATCTAAAAAGAACCAAACTCATAGAAGAGATTGGTGGTTACTAGAGGCAGGGGCAAGGCGTGGGTAAAGTGGGTGAAGGCAGTCAAAAGGTATGAACTTCCATTTTATAAGATTAATGAGTTCCGTGGATATAATATACAACATGGGAACTATAGTTTTAAAATACTGTATCATATATTTGAAAGTTGATAAAAGAGTAGATCTTAAAAGCTCTCATCACAAGAAAAAAAAAGGTAACTATGTGAGGGGAAGGATGTTAACTAAACTTATTATGGTAATCATTTCACTTTAGATACATGTATCAAATCATGTTGTACCTTTAGTACAATGTTGTATGTCAATTATATCTCAATAAAAATGGGGGGGGATTTTTTTAAACCAATAATGTCCATACATCAGTTAGGTGGTGACTGGTACACTTTTAAATACCATCCAAAAGCACTGCTCTGACATTACATTTGACACATAGTTAAAAGTATAACCATAAGGACTAAAACAAAGGTTATTTTACATATTGGTTAAAAATTAGAATTCTGTGATTGTGGTTCCCACAGTTTGTATGAAAAAAATTGATCACATTATGAATAAACAATAAAAGGCTAAAAGCAATTAGGCAAGTATAATTTTTTGGATTTGATGGCACATCAACAACAAAAACCAATCCATGGCAGGAATGGATATTGTAGTTTCAGAAAGACAGGCATATGTTAAATGGGAAAAACATGTTTAAATGATAACATTCCTTAAGATAGAGGTCCAGTAGATTTGATATCAAGTTCTAGTGAGAAATAATTCACCATCATATCACAAAGTAACTAACTAAATGGTATTATTCTGTTATTTGCTGATTTGCATCCATAATTCTCATTTTGAAGTAAAGATTTTTATTTTTCTGGTGCCATCAAGTGGTAACATTATGAAGTGCTCTAAGTTGAAAAGCAAATAACTTTTAGAAAAATATCACACTGATGTATCTATGTCAATTAAACACTAGTGATTTTTTAGCACAAAATCATCTAAAAAGAAAAGGGAAAATATCAGAGCTAACTGCAACTCATCCCGATCTTAAATTCCCAACCCAAAATGAGAGTTAAGACAAAGAAGAAAGATGTGTAGATCTTTAAAGACCAGAATGCTCTACTGGCAAACAAAAAACCCTAATTAACTATGACACTACTTGAGAAACAAAAATGTGTATCAAAATGACGTTATCAGTCAAACCATGAGAAATGCTCCCTCCAGAAACTCCATTAACAGGGCAGTAAAAGAATTATTTTTAAGGTAAAAGCCCAAATTTTTTGGACAAAGACATTAAGAGAGAAGACTACAGCAAAAACATCTGACAAGCTAGAAAACAGATGGATGAGTGGTTATTGACTTGAGAAGCTCAAGAAAGCTGCCTGACTTATATGACACTGTAAATCTCTCCAAAAGTTGGGAACTGGTAGCACTGGGTAGCTGTGGAAATCAGAGTAAGGGCTAAAAACAAGAGAATTAGTCAAAATTCTGGTTAAAAAGCACTGATGCCACTACATCCACTCCCTCTTCAGTCCATGCAGCCAAGCATTCATCTTATACCACATCAGAAGACTGAAAATTCATACTCTAATAAAAAAGAAAACTCTGGACAGGACACCAAGCATAGTGAGGGGGGAAATACTGTAGTAAAAAAGTGTTAGTGCTACAGGAGATTATGGTCATCTGAATGGCACTAACAAATGAAAGGTCACAGAACAAGAGTAAAAATGATGATTTTCTGGAAAGCAAACCACTGGAAGAAGGTCCTATCGGCCTTTGATTATTGTGTCCAGAAAGTCAAGTAACTAACTGTGGTATGCTTCACACTCTTTCTATAAGGAAAAGACAAATGACTAAAACAAAAATCTGATGCTTAAAACAAAGGTAAGTCCTACTTACAGAGATTCAGAAACATTCAGCTCCCACAACAGCCCAGTTATTAGCTGAGAATTTATGACAATTAACAAAGAACAGAATAGTAGGCAAATCAAGGATCTTTACATTTCATCTCCTCTCTTCAGGCCAGCAAGAATAAATGCACTAAAGAATCTCTGCAAATACTTCTGAGAGAGGTGAAGCCTGGTGAACACTAGCGATGTCAGAAAAAAACAGATTATTATTTATCAAGAGACATGGAGATTTGATTTTTTTAAAACCTGTTGTTGGTTAATTGATCAAAGTAGAGAGTTAAGCAGCTCTGATACTGCCTTCCATTCATGTAATTGAAAGTATAAACCTAAATGTAGGTCTTTTTTTTGAGAAAGAGAAAGAGAGAGAGAATGCACATGAGCAGGGCAAGGGGCAGGGGAGAGGGAGAGAGAGAATCCTAAGCAGGCTCCACGCCCAGCACAAAGCCCGATGCGGGGCTCAATTTCACAACCCTGAGATCATGACCTGACCCAAAATCAAGAGTCGAATGCTTAACTGACTGAGCCACGCAGGTGCCCCCCAAATGTAGGTCATTTAATCTTCCGTAATTTCTCGTTTTCAGTCTTGTTTTTACAGAGGACTATACACAAGGTACAGTTACATATATACACTTTTCTTTCCAGACACCAACATAAAAACATTCCAAAACATATTAATACTGATAAAATTGTACCTTGAACACCTTCTAGGAGTAAATCAACTCCTTTCCTATAAAAATTGGAAGCAGCTTCATAGTCATCTTCTTCTTCCTTTTTTAAAGCCAGCTTTATTAATTCTCCTGCTTTCTCCAAATAATCTCTCTTGCCAAGCTTGGATCTTAAACTGCCAGGAAAGAGGCTGCGACTTTCCCGTTCTTCTTCTGGTTTGTTCTGTTCACTGTCAGAAGCAACAGCCCCTAGTGCTGAAGGATCCGAAGAAAGACTGAGACCAAAAGTTCTAATGGGAGAATTTTGATTGGAAGCCATTCCATCATCTAACTCAGCAAGAGAATCCACGTCAACAGTAAGAGATACCAGATCACTGTCGCTGGAGAAACCTAGAAATATGATCACAATAGTAAACAGATATTAAATTAAGAATCAGCCAAAAAGAATACAAATCATGCTGACTATTCATTTGTTCATACTATCCAAGTTGATTAGGAAGGCTGTCATTGCCTGATAGAGATCGGTTCCTGGCAATTTGTTTCTGCTTACTTCATTCACTTCTGCACTCAGTGTAAGCTCTAGAAGCCAATCTTCTTTGCCTTAATTATCACACTAAAACTGAAGGCAAGTCTTTATCTAGCCTTGTTGTCAAAAAGAAGACCCTTTACCACAAGATCTTGTAACACCATCATTATGATAAAAGGAAAAGAATAAGAGCTTCAGGGTAAGACAAAAACAAGTGCTTGGATCTCAGCTCTTAAAATTTATTATGTGACCAAAAGCGAGTCACTTAATAATATTACTTATTATGTAGGACTTTTTTTTTTTTTTTAAGATTTTATTTATTTACTTGAGACAGAGAGAATGAGATACAGAGAGCATGAGAGGGAGGAGGGTCAGAGGGAGAAGCAGACTCCCTGCTGAGCAGGGAGCCCGATGCGGGACTCGATCCCGGGACTCCAGGATCATGACCCTGAGCCGAAGGCAGTCGCTTAACCAACTGAGCCACCCAGGCGCCCTTATGTAGGACTTTAAATGAGGGACAGAGTTAATGCATATAAAGCACAATAGACTTATTATTCAATTACAACTATTATAGCAATTACATAATCATTATTTAACTATTATACAACGTACCCTCACAGAGGTGTGCTTTTAGATAATCATCCATATCTGGAAAATGTATGCCATTTATTTGTTTTTTTTTTTAAGGACTAAATTTTTGGGTATCTTTGTTTCAATCTCTTCCACAAGCTTTTGGAGAGAGCTATGGTCTATATTAGCCTCTTAGTTTTCTGACAGAAAATGAATGAACAGGTGGTATTGAAATATTCAGCAATGAAAATTCTCTCTCGCATTTCATAGAACTGACTTCATGGTAAATGAGCATGAGGTCTTAGGATCTCCCTTTACATTCTTAAAATAACTGAGAGCCTCAAAAAACTTTTGGTTTTGTGGATTATACCTGTAAATGTCTACCAATCTTAATATTTAAATAGACTAAAAAAATTTTTAAACACTAAACCCCATTACATGTTAACATAATTTTTATTAAAAAGAACTATATTCTTGGGGTGTCTCAGTGGCTCAGTTGATTAAGCATCTGCCTTCAGCTCAGGTCGTGACCTCCGGGTCCTGGGATAGAGCCCCACATAGGGCTCCCTGCTTAGCAGGGGAGCCTGCTTCTCCCTCTCCCTCCCCAACGCCACCGCCAGCTCACAGGCTCTCACTCTCTCTCTCTAATGAATAAATAAATAAAATCTTTCAACAACAAAAAAAAAAACTATATTCTCCAAAACAAAAAAGTATTTAGTGACAGAAGTGACATTGTTTCAAATTTTTACAAATCTTTTTAACAGAAGATGACTAGCTTCTCATATCTGATCCTGCACTCAATCTATCGTCATGTTGTTTTGGCTGAAAGGTTTGAGGAAAATCTGACACAGATATGTAATGAAAATGGGGTGAATATTTTAGTAGCCTTTTTGAATATTTGTGGATATTATTTTTTGATACTACACCAAAACTTGACAAGTGGTAGTTTCTTAAAGCTTTGTTGCCATGTAGAATATAAATTCCTATCAGTGAAATTTCTGTTTCTGTCACATTCAAATACACTGGTCTGTCTTGCACACTGAATGGCTCTTTTATCCATGCCTGAGTTTGTAACATCACACACTGGACATTTTGAAAGTACTGGTTCCCTGAGTTATATAGATCTTCCAGATACTGACGAATTTCATTATTACAATACCCCCCCCAAAATCACATTTGTTACTATCATCATCAATCTCATCAGAATATTTTCTTTAGATACTGGGAAACTGTCAAGCTCAAAGTAGCAGATAGGAGTTCTCCAAAATTCAGGCATCTGGCTGGCTCAGTTGGTAGAGCTTGTGACTCTTGATCTCAGGGTCCTGAGTTTGAACCCCACGCTGGGTGTAAAGATTAAAAACAAAAACAAAAACAAAAAAACAAGTTCTCCAAAATTCGAATTTGGAATTGAAAACTCACATTTTATCATTGGCAACAAATACTGTCAGTTGTTTTCCCTAAAGTGTCAGCTCACTTCGTTTGCTTTTGAAAAAATATTTGCCAAATACCGGTCTGAATAATGACAGTTTGTCTGTCAATGGTTCTTTCAAGCAAAAATGATGTCCCAAGAGAAAAGCAGCTAGTTCATGGCTCAAACAAGTGCTTTTCCTCCAGACAACCATAGCAATTCAGTATGCAGAAGTGTTTTATGCGTACTTCCATTTTATCACACAGAATATCAAGAAGACATGTACCCAAAGGTAGAGATTTGATAAAAATTAATAGTTTTTACTGCTTTATCAAGGGCATTTTTAGGCAACATTAGCATTGGCATTACTGCATGTGCAATGATTCCTGTTACACTCTGCTGTCCCTGTCCCAATTCATGCTCAGGCACAACAGTTTTACCTACCATTGCTTTTGCATCATTAGTGCAAACGTCAACACAGTGAAAAAGGCAAACAATTTCCTAGACTATATAAAAACAGTTTCTGCCTTGGGGACCCCCTAAAAAGATCTCCGGAATACCCAGGTATCTGAAGACCACACTTTGAGAGCCACCGATCTCTATCATTCAATAAGATTGACAACAGAGCTATGTAAAAATTAAGTTTGGGAACAACTATGTGATCTGTATCACCACTGAATACTGACTCTCAAGTTTCTCAGGAAAGAAAATTAATTTCCTCAGGATCATATAAAAAGCCAAACTTAAAGGTGGGTTAGAGTATACAATTCTAGGTCAGGGATCAGCAAACTTTTCTTCTGAGGGCTAGAGAGTGACTATTTTAGGCTTTGTGGGTCATATGATCTATGTCACAACTAATCAACTCTGCTACTGTAGTACAAAAAAAAGCAGCCACAGATAATATGTAAATGAATAAGAATGGCTGTGTTCCAGTAACACTTTATTTATGGATGCTGAAATTTGAATTCCATATAATTTTCACATGCCACAAAATAATATTCTTTTGAATTCTGTCAACCATTTTAAAATGTAAAAACCATTCTTAGCTAGTAGGTCATATAAAGACAGGTGGCAGGTCGGATTTGGCCCACAGGCCATAGTTTGTCAACCCTTATTATAGACTCAAATTGCTTACTTCATATCAAATAAAATAAGTTAGGGTAAAAACATGTTACTGGCAGCTGAACTCAAATTTCAAATCAGCTTCAGACACTACTTTGGCACGCTGTCAACATGTCCTGTCTTCAGGGATTTTTCTCAAATCCTTAGAATGCCCATAAAGAACTCATTTTGTTCCCTAAAAGCAAAAGACTTCATTAAATCCACAATCTGAGATGAGATTCATTGGACCTAGTGGAAATCTTTTCAATCTCTGACATTTCAACTTTACAGACAGCACTTCAAAATCAAAATCTTTTACAGCAGTCTATAAAATTATTTATCCACTGTTCTGAGAAATATACAAACTTCAGAAGAGACTTTTTTAATTGATCTAAAAATACTTTACATATTTCAATGCACATTTATTTCCTTAAAGGGGGCCTTATATAACCTAGCCCATTGATATTAATAAACAAATAGACAAAGTTTAAAAAATAAGTTCTGATTTATACAGCTAATCGTAAAAGAAAGGAAATGCTGCTATAGATCTTTTGTCTGCTCTCTGGTGTCTTGTCACTGTAACCTTCACATCATCTATCACATTGTACTGTTTCATGTTTTGCCTGATTTTCCTTTCTAACAAGAACAATAATACCAAAGGGCAAAGGGGTAAAATTATGTGTACTCAGTTTCTCGGCTTTTGACCACAAAAGTCTAGTGACATAGTCTTATTTCCTCTCTTACCTTTCCAATCATATTTTGTTAGCAAAGGAAATCATGATTAAATGAAATTACATCAGAAGAGTAAGACCATCAAAATACCTAGGAATAAAGCCAGATAATGAAACAAAGAAATAATAATAATATTCAAATTGTTTCCTTTTCAAATTCTACCTAATTCTAAATGAAGAATCTTTCAAAGTGAGCAAACAAAAGAAAAGCTAGCAGGTTAGGATAAGGAGTTTTTCTAGTCCAACTATGAGAAGCAAAGGAAAGCAAAAAGACTTCTGATTTAACCTTTTTGGAGGACAATTTGGCAATACATATCAGATGCAAAAAATGCTTTTATCTTTGATTCAGCAATTTATATCAAAAACAATCAGAGATATGATAAAAGATCTATACATGACAATATCCATCACAAAAATTAGTGAAAATTTGGAAATAACAAATTCCTGACAATTGGAGATTATGGTACATCCCTTTGAGAAAATATTATACAGCTATTAAAAATTATGTTACAGACAAATGCTTAATGCTAAAGTGTTCATTATCTATTATGCAAAAACGACAAACTGTAAAGCAGTATATAATATACTGTAATTCTAATTTTAAAACAAAAACACAGGAAAAAAGGCTAGAGAAGTGTATTAAACATTGACAGCAATTTTCCCTGTATGGTGGGATTACAGGTGACTCTTACCACATTCCTTTATGTGAATGGCAAGCTCTTAAGCCTCGGTACCTGAAGGATATCAAAGGAGATGCAGCAAGGGCTAAAACTGGGAATTTGTTTGTGAATAAATCTATGTTATACAAACATAATTTATGAAATACAGGCCAGTAAGAATCATCCAGCAGCCAGTGCCAAGAATTCCTAACTTAGGAGAGAAGACAAAAGTGATTATAGACAGATCTGTTTGAAGCAGACTAACCCTTGACACTTCTTCCTTGCCTATCTTCTTCCTTTAGTTCTCCTCTTAAGATGCACCCTACCAGATCTGAAAAGCCTAACTCTATCATATCGCAACCATACACTGCAACTAGTTGTCTTCTCGTACTCTC